AGAGTTTGAAATATAGGTGAGAAATACTGACAGAGGAAGTCATCCCTGGTAAGTGCCTTGCTCTATACCCGGTATACAGTAGGTGTTCCAGCAATATTTATTTACAAAAATGAACAAGCAACATAAAACAGCTGAAAAAGGGGCCTAAAATTGTGTTAAGCAATGTTCCAGCTCAACTTGGATGCAAGGGCAAGGTTAGATATCAGGGCATGACTCGGTGAAGGAGGCCTGGGAAGGAAGATGATACATTCATTTTCTGTGGTAGGAAAATGGAAATCAATAAAGCTGCCTGCCTGATACTCAAGAGAGATTACTCTGACAGCAGAATGTGAGATGGAACAGAACGAGAAACTCAAGTGAGGTAGCGTCAATTTCAATTCTTCCCTGACTTGGCAGGCTTCTTTGCACTTTGTGCTCAACTGAAGTCAAACAACCTCAGGCAAAATATGTGTGTTGTGGGGAGGGGAGGTTGCTCCAAGAATGTTATGAAGGAGAGATGCAACTAGCTTTACAGAGATTCTAAGTGTATGAATGTGGAATGCTGAGGTATGGGCAAGTCAGTATGAACCAAGATTTCCAGGAGAAAAAAAAAAGGCTTATGAGAAAGTATGCAAAATAAAGCCTTAGAACTCAAAGGATGGAACACATTGAATTTACTGTGGAATGACTGTAAGAAGAATACCCTCTATATGTCATAATATTCACAAAGAATCAGGTTTTTCTTGTCACAAGAGGAAAGTAATCATATACTTAGCTTTAGCTAAGACATGAGGGACATACTTTATTTAAAACAAACAAATAAGCAAACTTTAATAGTCATTTCAACACTGATCTCTGCTGACCCACTAAATGTTTGATATTTCATGAGAACTTAACATCTGTCATTTCACTGCAAAAGCAGCAAGGTTTTTCATGGGCTTTAGAAACAGGTTGCCTGAGTTTAAATATATCACTTACTAGTCCTGAGACTTTAGGCAAGTTATTTATAACCTCTGTGTGCCTCCATTTCCTCATTTGAAAATGGAGATAATTCAAAAAGTTTGGATATAGGGTTATAATGAGGATTAAAACATTATTAATTAATTAAGTCTTGGATGAGAATCTGACTTATAAGTAGTAATCAATAAATATAAGCAATTTATTATTATCACTATTATTACTATATTATATTATTACTGTGCTATTACTATTGTTACTGTATTATCTTTGTCTTTTTGTGTCTTTTTGGCTAAAGAAGAAACAAATCATTACTACCCATCTTTGCATGGCAGCTTGTCAGCTTGGTGGCTTACCCTAAAGAACACAATGAATTATTTGATGGCATTCAGAAAGCACCCCCTTCTCAAATCTTTCTGGTAAGAGAACCATATTTTTATTTTTCTGGAACAAAGCTCAAAAGAAAAATATAATTACTGAGTTGAACAAAACAGAATCATAAATAAATTAGTTGCATTTTGTTTTTCCTGTCTGAGAAAACCTGAAAAATCATTTTCCTTTCTATCTGAAAGGACATCTAAAAGGAACCAGACCACACAATGACACCGAGATGTCTGTACCTGAAGTAAAATAAATCACAGTGGAAAAGGACGATATCTGACAGGAGGCTTTGGATATTGTTTTCATTATCCAGTTATTTTCTATGTAAAAGCCACTTGTGTCTTGGAGTGGACCCTGTCATCTGAAAAGCACTTTATCTTGTATTTCCAAAGATTTAAATGGAAATTGTTGCTTTTGGGAAATAGCCGTAAGGAGACAGTTGACTGCTTTTAAAAGCCTCGATCCATTTGCCCCCTAATACCAGTAAGTCCCTGCCTTGTGTTATAGGTTCTGCTTCCTCCAGAAGCTAATACTAATTTCATAATCATAGAAATAATCAAATCCTCAAAGCACATATACACTTAACATGTGTGTATGTTGTGTAGTCACGCAGAATCATATGTAATTCTAAACAGCAACCTTATAATGTTGAATGATCCTTCTAATTCCGCAGATGAGAAAACCAAGGCTACAAGGGTTAAGTCCCTTGTTCAAGGTCCCACAGTCACCAAGGAAAGGGATAGGAAGTCATCTCCACTCAGCTTCTTTGTTTCCACCTCTCAGTTATTACCACCATCCTCAGTGGATATGGTTCTAGCCTCGTCATTCAAAATAATAGAAAATTTAATAAAAAATGGAGCCATAGCCTCCCAGGATTCCTACCTCAACTTAGACAACTTAAAACAAGATTCAAAAGAAGACTTGTTCTATTGCTATATTTTGTGCTATCTGGACATCAATCAGTGTCATGCGAACTGATCTTACGCATTTCTAGTAATATAAATTCATTGGAAGTTCAGTATTTGGGGGGCTGGTATCCCATTTTATGGCACCCCTACTGTTTTGACATCACTGTGTTCTAGGTATGTTACTGATACAAAATGAAATGACTTTCCCTGTAAAAGATTCTTTAGAATGCTAAACAGGTAAAAAGTAAAACTGACTCTGTTTGCAATAGCATTAAGCTAAAAATGAATGTTCAGGTTAAAAAATAATGATTTCAAATATTACCCTTTGAGATTCCGTCTAAGGAACAGCACTGAATTTATAGTTATTCATTATAGATTAGTGTGTGTGTGTTACGAACAGCAAATTTTTCTTTCCCAGATGTATTAATTATTTACTGACATTCGAAATTCTAAAAATATGCTGTCTCTTGACTTGTGGGGAAAAAATACACAAAAATTGGACATTACCACACTGCTATGAACCTCTCAGATGAACAAAGTTGAAAAACCCATAGGCAGACACAACTGCCTCTTCCTTTTCTATCTTACCAACAGTTGCTTTAAAAGATTCTAGGAACATATACATACAGCATATGAAGAACAAGAGAGATTTCTAGTGCTGTTTGCGTAACTCATGTCTTCTTGTTCTACTAGGATTAAAATAGCATGAGATTACATTTGTTCTGTCATTTAAAAAAAAAGTCATACAACTAACTGCAGAATTCACAGCCTTTTCAAGCACATACTATTATTTAAAAAGATTGACCACAGATTGGCCATAAAGCATGGCTCGACACATTTAGAGGATTAAAACATTGCAGGCTATGTTTTTTTTGTATCATAAGGTATTTATGTTAAAAATGAAAAACCACCAGGGTGCCTAGGTGGCTCAGTAGTCAGTTAAGCATTGGACTTCAGTTCAGGTCACAATCTCACGGCTCATGAGTTCAAGCCTCGCATCCGGTTCTGTGCTGACAGGTCAAAGCCTGGGGCCTACTTCAGATTCTGTGTCAACCACTACTTCTGTACCTTCCCCCCTCACGCTTTGTCTCTCTCTCTCTCTCTAATATAAAACTTAAAAAATAAAAAAAAGATGATGGGCATGGAGGGGGGCACTTGTGGGGATGAGCACTGGGTGTTATATGGAAACCAACTTGACAATAAACTATTTAAAAATAAATAAATAAAAGAAAAAAGGAAAACCACCATAAAACTATAAAATATCCGTATGTTTGGAAATTTTAAAAATAATCATGTAAATAATACATAGGTTCAAGGAAAAAATCATAATGAATTAGAGACTATTTCAAATTGAATGATAATGAAAATATAAGATTTTATAACTGCTGCTAAATCATTACCTAGAGAATATTTTTATTTAAAACACAATTATTAGAAAAGAAGAAATGCTGAAAATAGATGAAATAAACAACCATGTCAAGAAGCTATAGAAAGAAGAGAAAATTAACGAAAGGAAAGTAAAAGGAAGGAAAAAAATAAAGGTAAGAGCAGAAATTCATAAAATAGAACAAATCATACAAGAGAGGAGACTAAAAGAGCCAAAAGTTGGTCTTGTTAAAAAATAAATAAAACTGATAAAACTTCCCAAAACTGACACAAGAAACAGAAAGAAAGAAAGAAAGAAAGAGCCTCAAGAATTCATCTACAACTATTAAAAGAAATAGTAACAAAAAATCTTATCAAAAAAGAAAGTCTAAGCCCAAAACTCTTTCAAGTAGTAAAAGGAAAGGGTAGACTCTCCAGATCATTTTATGAGGATAATATAACATTGATTCTAAAACTAGGGAAGCAAAATTATAGAAGTGTTTCTCACCAGTTGAATATATATGCAAAAATCCTTTGAAAATTAATAAACAAATACAGCAATTTACAGAGGACTAATATGTATAACTAAATTGAGTAACTTCCAGAAACTCAAGGCTGGTATGACATTCAAAAATCAATCAACAGGGGAGCCTGAGTGGCTCAGTTGGTTGAGCGACCGACTTCAGCTCAGGTCACAGTCTTGCGGTATGTGGGTTCAAACCCCACGTTGGGCTCCGTGCTGACAGCCTGAAGCCTGCTTCGGATTCTGTGTCTAACCTTTCTGTCTGCCCCTCCCCTGTTCATGCTCTGTCTCTCTCTCTCTCAAAATTAAATAAACATTAAAAAAAATCAATCAACAGAATTTTCCATTTACTAAGAAAAATTCTTAGTAATGAGGAAAATTCTAGTATTATTTTAATAGTTGCAGAAAATACATTTGGCAAAATTAAATATTAATCCATAATTAAAAACTTTAAAGTAAGAAAAAAATAAAAGTTCCTCGGGTTGAAAAGAGGACAGTTAACCGTTGAACAATACGGGGTTAGGGGTACTGACCCCCTGGGCAGTTGAAAATCTGTGTACAACTTTTCACTCCCTCGAAACTTAACTACCAACAGCCTATTGTTGACCAGAAGCCTTAATGACAACATAAACAGTCAGTTAACACATATTTTATATGTTCTATGTATTATATACCATGTCCTTACAATAAAGTAAGCTACAGAAAAGAAAATGTTATTAGGAAAATTATAAGATAAAATTAACTGACAGTACTGTATTTATTGATAATAAACACACACACACACACACACACACACACATTTAAGTGGACAGATACAATTCAAACCCCTGTTGTTCAAAGGGTCAAATGTATTTGAAGAAAAAATCTACAAGAAACATTGTACTTACTGGTATACTCTGACAGGAAACTAAGGATGCCACCATCACCACCCCCATTCATCTGCATAGTGATGGTTTTAGCAACTGCAGTAAGCAAGAGAAAAGAAACGTAAGAATTGGTAAAGAAATGTTATATTTCACAAATTTTGGAGAAAAAATTCAAATGAGCCCACAAAATGTTAGTTTTAAGAGAATTTAGCTAAGTTACTAAATAGATACCATGTTATTTCTCTATGACAGCATGTTATATCTGACAGCCATAAATATTAGAAAATAAAATTTATAAAGGATATATAGTTTATACTAACAAAATATTAAAGACTACCAATAAAATTAAGAGATGCATAAGACCTCTTTGAAGAAATTAATACACATTTCATAAGATAAATTTTATTTTATTTATTTTTTTAAGTTTAATGTTTATTTATTTTTGGGAAACAAGAGAGAGACAGAGCATGAGTGGTAGAGGAGCAGAGGGTGAGGGAGACACAGAATCCAAAGCAGGCTCTAGGCCCTGAGCCATTAGCACAGAGCCCGACATGGGGCTTGAACCTAAAAACCGTGAGATCCTGACCTGAGCTGAAGTCCGACGCTTAACCGACTGAGCCACCCAGGCGCCCCCATAGATAAATTTTAAATTACTGAAATAAATAGATATATACTACTCTGTGCATAAATTACAGAACTAATTTCGTAAAGATGTCAGTTCTTCCAATACTGATTTATAAATTCAGTGCAATCTCTTCACAAATTCCTACACAGTCCAAATCCCTATACAGATCTCCGTGGAACAAGACAAGCTTAATTCAGTATTATATAGGAATGGAGAGGCCTAAAGTAACATAGACCTGCTGAAGAAGAAAAGCAAACTGGGAGAGGAGGTTCTAATTGCTATTAAATCATATAAGGGTATAATCAGAGGCAGATTTACCATGGAGCTTACACTGTTCCTTTTGAGGACTCTTGGGAAGTGCCCTAACACTGTGTTCTCATGACTATGCTTCTGCAAAACATGTTAAGATATTTAAACACCACCAGTTAGGACTGTGGTATCTTTCCTCTCTAAATTCGCCTTCATCAAACATGTACTGATTTTAGCTGACTTTGGAACAGCTATAGGCATTCGAGGGATCTGAAAGAGGAGAAATAAGTTGGGGAATATATTTAATATTAGTTTACTGTGGCATATTTCTGTGCATCCCAGTTACTTCCACATTTACTTTATTGCTAGACTTGAATTATTAAAAAAATGGCTCCCAAAAATGTGCCTAAGATCTCTGGGGTAACTCACCCAGTGTTGTAACCTGAAGATGTGAAACCAGAAATTACATCACAATGTGTATTTGTCTTAGAACATTGCAGCCAGAGGTATATAGGTGGTGGGGAAGAAATCAGATATGAAAAGTGGTGCCAGAAGCTACTTTGTGGAAAAACTTTCCAATCATCAGACATGTAAAATACTACATGGAGAATTCATTTGTCATTGCTGCTTAAGTCAAGATGGAAGCTCTCTTGTTTCAGACATGTACTTGAGAACATAGGGTATACAATCATATAAGTTCACCATACATCTTTATGGGAACCATGCAAAATAGAAAGTATCAAAATTCTTCTCATTATAAGGCACAAACTTATCAGCAATATACAAATGGTGAGTATATCTATAAGTCAGTTATGAAAAATTTTGGTGGATGTTTTTCTAAATTTGATATTCTAAAATATTTACATCTTTATAAGCAATGATGAATTGAAAATTGAACAAACTTGCCTAAACTCACAAAAATAAATTTTGATTAGCTATGTTAGAAGACTGAATTTTCTTGTCATTGCTTTAATAGAGAATGGTATTATTAAATCATCATTATATGAAAAAGCAACAAAAAATACATAGCCAAAAATTATAGAAAAAAAACTTTTTAGCGGTATATTAAACGACATGAAGATCAAAGGGAAGAGAAAAAACTTTAAATTTTATTACAACTAATAGCCCTTGAGACAGGCAGAGTGACCTTTCTTTAGGAACTCAACTACTTGATGTTAATATTTTGCTAAAGGTAATCTTAACCTAACATCATCCTGGCCTCCAGGATCCTTTAAGTCTACAATACATATAAAAATTGCATTGGAACCTTCATCTCTATCCCCCCACCCCGCAAGATATACGTTAGCAATCATCTTCCAAGCACATGGCTCCTGATACATATCTGAAAGATCTCATGACTAAGGTTTTATTGGGCAGTAATAAATGACCTTTTCCCAACAATAGCTAGCTCTCCCAAGGTCCTGGAAACCTTGCTTCCAAAATTTCTTAGTGACTTACACTATCCCTAACCCCCTCCCAACTTGAAAGTATATAATTAATTGCTTCTCAGGGTGGCTCAGTCGGTTAAGCATCCGACTTTGGCTCAGGTCATGATCTCACGGTTCATGGGTTCGAGCCCCGCGTCAGGCTCTGTGCTGATGGCTAGCTCAGAGCCTGGAGCTTGTTTCAGATTCTGTATCTCCCTCTCTCTCTGATCTTTCCCTGCTCATGCTGTCTCTCTCTCTCTCAGAAATAAATAAAACATTTTAAGAAATTAAATTGCTTCTCACAATCCCAGTACAGCTCCTTCTGAACCTTGGGTCCTGTCCCCATACTTTAATAAAATCGTCATTTTGCACTGAAGATGTCTCGAGAATTCTTTCTTCACTGTTTGCTCTGAACCCCAACATTTCCACATCTTTAAGTGCTTAATTAATAAAATATGTTATTTTTCTGGGCTTCATGACACTTCATGAAGGTGTTTGTCAACTTCTTAATATTTATGATTTGCTGTGGTTTATTTTCTCACTCACTTTTGCATATCATTTTAGATTCACCAATTCTTTTTTCTTATAGAACAGCACAAAATTGTATATATTAGCTTTGAGCTCCTCAGTACCTAGATCTTTACCAATTTTAGCAACTAAGAACTCAGCAACTTATAACAAGAAAGTGCAGACTTGACTCCTGATTTCAGCTCACGTCATGATCTCATGGTTCCTGATATCAAACCCTGGGTCAGGCTCAGTGCTGACAGTGTTGAGTCTGCTTGGGATTCTCTCTCTCTCTCTCTGCCCCTCCCCTGCTTGTGTGCTCTCTCTCTGTCTCAAAATAAATAAATATTAAAAAAAAATTAAACGTGGACTTGGCATAAGGATAGATAAAAGAGCAATGGAATATAATAAAGAGCCTAGAAATAGACCAATAAATATATGGTCACCTGATTTATGATAAAAGTGGCACTTCAGAACAGTTACGAATGTAACATTTTCAATAAATGATGTTGGAACAATTGAGTTTATGTGGGGAAAAAACTGCACCCTCTACCTCACATCATTCACAAAAATAAATTATAGATATGTCATAACCATAAATATGAAAATCAAAACAATAAAGCTTTTACACAATAATACGGAATACTATCTTCATGATAGTTTGGGAGTAATTCCTTAATTAGGATCCAAAAGCACTATTAAAGAAAAACATTGATAAATTTATTCTTGAAGGGGAGAAATTTGTCATCCTAAAATATGCCTCTTTGCCATATGGATTATTTTCAGCTGGTTATTTTTTATGAAACTGCAGAAACTCTGAAAACCAAGTAAAAGTTACCCTTTTGTAAAAAGACATTTATATTTATAAAGGAAATCTCCATTGTAAGGGTATCTTCCCCTCTGTACCAGGAGGAGAAGGGTTACTAATCTCTAGAAACCCTTTATCAGTGGTGAAGTTAAGGACTTAAATGTGCACGAAACCTTATCCTTGTTTACTGTGCTTTTCTTTGTAACCTCCCATAACTGGCCTCCTCTGCCCACTCCTTTTGTCTTTAGCTGGAGATGTTATTTAAGGTGGTGGCTTAGGGCATTTTGGAGAGTAACTCAGTTTTCCTGGGTCTCTCCCATGTATACAGGAGGTATACATGATATTAAACCTTTTTTTTCTTCTTTTAATCTTTTATTATGGGGGAAGGGGTCTCAGCCAGGAACCTAGAAGGGTAGAGGAAAAATTTATTTTTCCTACCCCACAACCACATTAAAATTAGGAATTTCTGTTCATCAAAAGACACCACTGAAAGGGAACCTTGTGAGGGAAAATACATATGCAACACATACAACTGTCTTTAGGCGCACATCTAGAATACATTGATCCAGAATCAATTAAAAACAAAGAAAGAAAATGGACAAAAATCACTTCACAAAAATCTGAATGTCAAAAAAAAAAACATATAAAAAGGTGCTCAACCTCATTAGCCATCAGAGAAATGCAAATAAAAAACACAATGAGATACCATTATATTCCTAGTATACTGGCAAAATTAAAAAAAAAAAATTTTTTTTATAGTTTATTTATTTTTGAGACAGAGACAGACGGAAGACGAGTGGGGGAGGAGCAGAGAGAGAGAGGGAGACACAGAATCTGAAACAGGCTCCTGGCTCTGAACTGCCAGTACAGAACCCGATGCAGGACTCAAACCAACGAAACGCGAGATCATTACCTGAGCCGAAGTTGGAGGCTTAACCACTGAGCCACCCAGGCGCCCCATATACTGGCAAAATTTTAAGTCTTTATTTTTTTTTAATTTAATTTTTATTTATTTCTAGGAGAGAGAGAGAGCGTGAGCAGGGGAGGGTCAGAGAGAGTGTGATTCATATTCTGAAACAGGCTCCAGGCTTTGAGCTGGCAGTCAGCACAGAGCCCGACGCGGTGCTCGAACCCACGAACCGCGAGATCATGACCTAAGCGAAAGTCGGACGCTTAACCGACTAAGCCACCCAGGCGCCCCATAAGTCTTTAATCCTGTAGAGCAAATGGGAATGTTTTCTCACTCCCGGTAAAAGTATAAATTGGTACAATTTTGGACAAATGTTTAAGGGTAATGACTAAAACTTACTGTGTTAATACTCCATAATCAGCAATTTTACTCCCAAATATACATCCTAAAGAAATACATGGTCATGTACACTATGACACCTATTCAAGAATATCCACATGGCACTAGGTGTTACAGACCCAAACTGGAAACAATTCAAATATCCATCAACAATACCATACTGTATATGTT